ATTAGCCGGCTCAACAAGCCAGGTATAGGCTTACGACAGTCAGATGTGCTTTTTCTCAGGCTTAATTCGAGGATAATTAGGCGCTCATGCTTAAGCTTAACTATGGATGTATTTTAAAATACCTGAGAATTTTAAACCTTATTTGATCCAATGAAATGAGTAGCAGCACATATTGAATAGGAACTCGAGTCAATCTAGCTGGTATAAGGTGAGCGCGAGAAGCAAAAGTTGAATTTATCACGATAGCATGATCAGAATTCAGGGCGCCTTTCAAAGGGCGAACAAATAAATATATCATGAACGCTAGAATATAAGCCATACAAAACTGGGCCTAAAAATTCAAAAGGCAGATTCACAATGCAATCAGGGTAGGCGAGTTTGAAATAAAACAGTTTCATAGGACAGAATATAGAAGAAGCTTTAGACACACTGTGTGGGTAAGAGTTACTATTCAAAAATAGAACGGTACGATTCATCAGAAGAGTACTAGAATATAAGACTAAGCAAGGAAAAATGTCAAAACTATGCCCCGCACTGTTTTTTGAGGCCTAAGTTCCATGATAGTATAGAGCCTAGTATTAAAAAGGCAGTATTTTAGTCAAATCCGTATTTAATGTACAGGTAGCAAGCAAAGGAAAGGTAATTTCCGCGAGTTCAAAGTTTGACAAAGGCATATTTTTGTGCATAAATTTAGCAATTTATAAACAGTTAACGAGGATGAAAAAAAACGGGATGCCAGAAAATACCTTTCGTCCATTCAAGTGGTTGCACCAGCTGCAAAGCATAGCCGGAGATAAAATTAATTCGTCTGGAATAAAATCCACTGTTGTATAAAAAAAATCTTGATCACAGGAATAACTTGCAGGGCCTGGTGAAAGGACTTGACGGACGGACAAGTTCCAAATATTGAAAGATGCATTTCAGTTTGATGTAATATGAACAAGAATTAATCCTAAAGTGAAATTTCCCATAATAATAGTTTATTAAAATCAGTTGAATTCGCGATCATCATTTTCCCAGCATAGTTGATGATAACCTAGTAAAAGGAGTCGTAATTTGAAATAACAAAAAGGTAATAAATGCGCACTGACTGAACACTTCATTTTTATAAAGCCTATTGACTCATAGAAAATGATCTTAAATTCAGCCAATAAAACAAGCACTTCAGATTTAACAAATAAAAATTTAGGTGAATCGAAGATGAGGACTCAAGCAATATGAACGGATAAGCCTACCAATTCATGGCTTCATTGAGGCCTTCTCCTTTGAGGGCTGAAGTTTTAAATATTTGATAACGTCTATTTTTTATGGATGCTAGCCCCAACTCTTGAGCAACCTCAGTCACTTTCATACAACCAGGAATATCCTGCTTGTTTGCGAAAACGACTAGCACAGCATTACGCAGTTCTTCTTCCTATTATGGAAAGAAAAAATAAAGTTAAATAGCATACATTAAAAACATTTCAAAATTAAACGTTAGTCTGGATATTCATATAATTTTTTGCAAAGGAAACAAAGCCTATATGAGAAATTAATAAAATAAAATGGCCCTAGTATATACAGCAAGTTGAAATAACTAATAAGTGAATTGTGGGTCAGAACTCTTATCTGAAAAAGCAGTTGCAAATAGGTCAGTGACAAAGTCTGGCTAATTTTTACAGTATATAGAAGAGCTAGGTTTCGAAGAACCGCCTCGTCTACAATCGCGAGTTCAAATCCATTTCGAATGAAAGTACGGGATGAATAAATTC